AGGGGGGGGGATGTCTTGATCATTGTCACGTAAATACACCAACTCACGGATTAGATGAGAATAGGTAGAACATAATCCCGGCAATGGGGCAGCGTCCTGTTGTGATCTTCATTCCATTGCACCAATACACGGAAAAAATAAGGATCAATTGCACCCACACAGTGGGCATAAGACCCTAAGTTGGGGGGGGGGGGGAATCTCGCGATGCCGTGATTACACTAATACACATATCAAATAACACTCTAGGAGAAAGGTGGAGGCGGCAGTACAACACTTTGAACTTAGCCAAAATGCCGAGAAGCGATGCAGATGCAACTGCAACAGGTGCATTTGTGTCGTGACTGGGAGCTGTCGCCCTGGAAGGCCGACGTGCACTCGCCTGCCCCGTGCGCTGAGTCTGCGAGCGATTTGCGACCGACGGCGAGCAGTGCTTACCCCGCCGCGCATGGGCACCAGCTCACATGACACTTTGCAGAACATCTTGTTGCAACTTGAGTCGTCTGCACAATATCCGTTGGCCGAGACGCGCGGCGGTTGCGTCGGCACACTCGCACGTGACCGGAGGTCCCGACGTTTGGCGCCCCATGGAGCGGTCGCCGGCGCTGACGGCGCCAGTGCGTTGTTCGTCACGTCACGCAACTGGCAATCACGGATGACGTGACCAGACATCGGTCACGTGACAGCACACCGTCACTATCAATAGGTGCCCAGTAATGGCGAGAGGCAGAACACGTGCACACACCGCGTATGTCGGCGTACAACTGATGCCGGGACGCGTGTCAATACGGTCGAAAATCTCCAAGCCGCCGCTAGTGCCAGCATGGCCGCCAGATCGCTGGCGAACCGGGCGCCGAGAGCCAGGGTGGTCGTCCTGCGTCTGCGGTGGTGCCGCGTTCCCGGCAGCTGGGTAGTTGTGTTGCCGACTTGTTGCATGTTGAGTGCGGCGTCGCCCCGCGTCACGTGGTAGAGCGAGGCCGCGCATCGCAAGCGAAAACGCCCATGCAGCTGAGCAATGGCGCCAGGCCGGCAAGGCCGCACGGCCTCCGGCTGCGGTGCCCGTGCGCTGGAGCTGACAACACAGCCGACCATTCGACCACCCGCAGGAGATGTGTGAATGCCACGCTGCCGGCTGAGACATCTGGCCGCAGGGCGTGCAACACTGATATGCACAGCCGGCGGCCATGGTCATTGTCAGGCGTTTGGTCCTAATGGCGTTTGCTTGTACAACCATGTGATGCGTTGGCGTTGCATGTTGCCGGCCTGACTGCACGCGCTGTTGGTGACATGGCATCGGTCGGCCAACCAGGTCAAACCGCGGAAAGGCGAGAGGAAGCTCCAGTAACCCCGCCAATGTTCAAAAATGAGTTGAATATTCAGGTCCCCACTTAGGGGACGTATCAGATATGATGCTGATCAGAACAGATTTGTATTCATAAAAGGTCATGTTTCATTATAGGAAATGGTAAAAAGACAAACGGATGCACTCAAAGTATGCAGCGCATGTACACGCGACAGTGTTTTACAAGAAAGCCACACTTCCACAATGCCACGGTACGGTGTAGCGTGCCGCCAATGGGGTGAAGCGCTTGCTCACCCCGCTGCCCATGGTGGGCATGGTCGGGGGGGGGGAGGTCGTCGGCGGGATTCGACACCGCCCCGTCAAAGCTCCCTGGATTGCAGGCCTTGGGCGGTCGGCGACCTCACCGCAGCCAGATGGCACGTCGGCGGCGACGACACAATACTGCGTCGCCTCGAGGCGTGACGCCAAGCGAGGAACGCCGGTGGCAAAACTGCCACCACACGAGAAGGCCGCAGTTGCTCAACGCCTACGGACATTGTAGGGAAGCGGCAAACCCACAGCCGGCCAGCGAACCCAGGGAACGGGCGGGGGCTACACGCCGGAGTGCTACACAGTCGGGGGTCACGGGAAGCATCTCGTGTTGATTCCATATGATTACACTAATGCACAGATCAAGTAATAATCAGTACAGCACGTGCACACGCGCCGCTAGAAGAAATAGCAGGGAGGTGCGAATGTCTTCATCATTGTCACGTGAATACACCAACACACGGATTAGACAAGAATAAGTAGAACATAATTCAGGCAATGGGGCAGCAACTCGTTGTGATTGTCATTCGATTGCACCAATACACGCCAAAAATAAGGATCAATTGCACCCACGCAGTTGGCATACAACCCTAAGGGGGGGGGGGGGGGATCTCTCGTGATGCGGTGAGTACACAAATACACAGATGAAACAAAACACTAGGAGAAGGGGAGGGGCGGCACTACTACACTTTGATCTAACCCAAAATGCCGAGAATCGATGCAGATGCAACTGCAACAGGTGCATTTGTGTCGTGCCGGCCGCTGTCGCTCTGGAAGGCCGACGTGCACGCGCCTGCCCCGTGCGCCGGGTCGGCGAGTGATTAGCGACCGACGACGAGCAGTGCTCACCCCGCCGCGCATGGGCACCAGCTCACATGACAGTTTGCAGAGCATCTTGTTGCACATTGAGTCGTCCGCGAAACATCCGTGGGTCGAGACGCACAGCGGTTGCGTCGACACACTCGCGGGTGACCGGAGGTCACCGACGATTTGCGCCCATGGGGCGGTCGCCGGCGCCGACGGCGCAAGTGCGCTGTTCGTCACGTCATCCGACTGGCGATCACGTATGACGTGACCAGACATCGGTCACGTGACAGCACACCGTCACTATCAACAGGTGCCCAGTATTGGCGAGAGCCAGAACACGTGCACGCGCCGCGTATGTGGGCGTGCAACTGACGCCGGGACGCGCGTCAATACGGTCGAAAATCGCCCAGCCGCTGCTAGTGCCAGCATGGCCGCCAGATCGCTGTCGCACCGGGCGCCGAGAGAGAGGTTGGTCGTGCTGCGTCTGCGGTGGTGGCGCGTTCCCGGCAGCTGGTCAGTTGTGTTGCCGACTTGTTGCCAGTTGAGTGTGGCGTCCCGCCGCGTCAACTGGTAGAGCGCGGCGGCGCATTGCAAGCGAAGAAGCCCATGCAACTGAGCAATGGCGCCAGGCCGGTAAGGCCGCACGGCCACCGGCTGCGGTGCCCGTGCAGGGAACACAGCCGACTATTCGACGACCCGAACGCGATGCGTGAATGCCACGCTCCCGGAAGCGACATCTGGCCGCAGGGCGTGCAACACTGATATGCACAGCCGGCGTGCATGGTCATTGTCAGGCGTTTGGTCTGTACGGCGTTGGCTTGTACAACTATAGGATGCGTTGGCGTTTCATGATGCCAGCCTGACGGCACGCCATTTTGGTAACAAGGCATCGGCCGGCCAACCAGGCCATCCCGCGGCAGGGCGAAAACCAGCTCCAGTAACCCCTCCAAAGTTCAAAAATGATTTCAATATTCTGGTCCCCATATAGGGGACGCATCAGATATGATGCTGATCAGAACAGATTTGTATTCATAAAAGGCCATGTTTCATCATAGGAAGTGGTAAAAACACAAACGGATGCACTCAAGGTCTGCAGCGCATTTACACGCGACAGTGTTTTACAAAAAAGCCATACTTCCATAATGCCACGGTACGGTGTAGCGTGCCGCCAATGGGGTGAAGCGCTGGCTCACCCCGCTGCCCAAGGCGGGCATGGTTGGGGTGGGGAAGGTCGTCGGCGGGATCCGACACCGCCCCGTCAATGCTCCCTGGATTGCAGGCCTTAGGCGGTCAGTGACCACACCGCAGCCAGACGGCACGTCGGCGGCGACGACACAAGACTGCGTCGCCTCGAGGCGTGACGCCAAGCGAGGAACGCCGGTGGCAAAACTGCCACCACACGAGAAGGCCGCAGTTGCCCAACGCCTACGGACATTGCAGGAAAGTGGAAAACCCACAGCCGGCCGGCCAACCCAGGGAACGGGCGGGGGATACACGCCGGAGTGCCACAATGTCCGGGGTCACGGGAAGCATCTCGTGTTGATTCCATATGATTGCACCAATGCACAGATCAACCAATAATCAGTACAGCACGTGCACACGCGCCACTAGCAGAAAAAGCGAAGAGGGGGGGGGATGTCTTGATCATTGTCACGTAAATACACCAACTCACGGATTAGATGAGAATAGGTAGAACATAATTCCGGCAATGGGGCAGCGTCCCGTTGTGATCTTCATTCCATGGCACCAATACACGGAAAAAATAAGGATCAATTGCACCCACACAGTGGGCATAAGACCCTAAGGCGGGGGGTGGGGGGACATCTCGTGATGCGGTGATTACACTAATACACAGATCAAATAACACAGTAGGAGAAGGATGGGGGCGGCAGTACTACACTTTGAACTTAGCCAAAATGCCGGGAAGCGATGCAGATGCAACTGCAACAGGTGCATTTGTGATGTGCCGGGATCTGTCGCTCTGGAAGGCCGACGCGCACTCGCCTGTCCCGTGCGCGGGGTCGGCGAGCGATTTGCGACAGACGGCGAGCAGTGCCCACCCCGCCACGCATGGGCACCAGCTCACATGACACTTTGCAGAGCATCTTGTTGCAACTTGAGTCGTCCGCACAATATCCGTTGGTCGAGACGCGCAGCGGTTGCGTCGACACACTCGCGCGTGACCGGATGTCGCCGACGGTTGGCGCTCATGGAGCGGTCGCCGGCGCCGACGACGCAAGTGCGTTGTTCGTCACGTCACGCGATTGACGATCACGGATGACGTGACCACAGACATCGGTCACGTGACAGCACACCGTCACTATCAATAGATGGACATTGCTTCCGAGACGCGGCACACCTCCTCCCTCCGCGCCCGTGGGCGCGCATCTGACGCCGTGCCGCGTGTCGCTACGGTCGAAATTCTCCAAGCCGCTTCTACTAGAGATTGTAAGCATGGGCGCTAGATGGCTGTCGCACCGGGCGACGAGAGCCCAGCTGATCGTACTGCGTCTGCGGTGGTGGCGCGTTCACGGCAGAGCTGGGGAGTTGAGTTGCCGTGTGAGCCAACCGGGTGTCCCGCTAGACGGAGACCGAGAACCTTCTGTCATGCCAACAGAAAGGCTTCCGCAGCTATGACGGAGTGTTGGAGCACAACTTCATCCTCCAGAGCGCGATCACCGCCCAGCGGCGACAGCCCGGCGGCCAGCTTCACGTTTGCTTCATCGACCTGGCGAATGCATTCGGGAGCCTGCCCCACAGGTACCTGTGGAGTGGTCTCGCCCGCCTCGGCCTGCCCGGGGAGGTGCTGTTCACTCTGGAGGACCTGTACGACGGCAGCACGACTATGTACACGACAGCCCAGGGCACGTCCGAGCCCGCGCCCGTCACGCGCGGCGTGCGGCATGACTGCCCGCTGAGCGGCATCCTGTTTAATCTGGGCATGGAGCCTCTGGTCCGGGCGCTCGACGCCGTCGACCGCGTCACGACGCTCGCCTTCGCCGACGACCTCACGCTTCGCTGCCGCGACGCGGAGGCGCTGGACACCGCGCTCACCACACTAGAGGAGGTGTGCAGCTGGTGTGGACTGGCGCCCAACGCGCGAAAGTCCGGGCTTCTGTCGGTCGGCAGCCCGTCGCCGCAGGTGCAGCTCATGGGTTAGCCGATCCCCGTGATCGGCGAGCGGTGCTCGTACCGCTACCCGGGCCGGCCTGTGGGACACACAAGTCTGTCGTGCCCGCCGTTACAGGTGCTGGCCGAGGCAGAGCAGGCCGCCCGCCTCGTCCTGGACAGCGCGCTGGCCCCGTGGCAGAAACTGGACGCGCTGCGCGCGTCCATCCTGCCACGGCTGACCCACTGCCTCCGGCTGGGTCTGCTCCCAAAACAGGCTCTGCGTCAGTTCGACACCGAGCTGCGCTGGAGGGTCAAGGGGGCACTCCAACTGCCGTCTCGCGCGTGCCAGGAGCACCTGCACGCTAGCACCTCGCGCGGCTGTGTTGGTCTCACCGAGCTCGCCTCCGAGGCCGACATTCTCCTCCTGGCGTCTACATGGCAGATCCTCACCTCCCCGGACGAACTCGTCCGCGAGACTGCTGCCTCTCAGCTAAAGGAGTCTGTACGCAAGCGCCTCGTACCCCGGAACAGCTCGCCGACTACCTGAATGGTAGGGAGTTGAGGGACGGTGGCGACGTTTCGACGCGCTTTTCACGAACGCGCGTCGCCACCAAAGCGCTGGCCAAAACCATCCCGATTGCCTGGCGCGCGGTGGACGGCAAGCTGCGGCTTGCGATCGGCGACGACGTGGTGCCGCGTCGCCAGGCGGCTGCCCTCCTGCGAGAGGCGGTCCGCCAGGCGGCCGCCGAGCGTCTGTACCGCCTGCCTCACCAGGGGAAAGTGATGCAGACGGTCGGCGACCAGCGCGTGAGCAGCCACTACATGTACAGTGGCAGCTTCACTCGCCTCGCCGATTGGCGCTTTGTGCACCGCGCGCGGCTGGGACTGGTGCCTTTAAACGGCGTCCGTCGCAGCCCTGTGCGGGGCGACGAGCGCTGCCGGCGGTGCGGGTACGCGCGCGAGACGCTGCCCCATGTGCTGTGCCACTGCATGCCGCACAGCGCCGCCTTCCAGCGCCGTCAAAGCGCCATCCTGAGCCGCCTTCACAAGGCGGTGCAGCGGGATGGCGTGGTGACGCAGATCAACCGGCGGGTGCCAGGGTGCGCCTCCACCCTGCGCCCCGACCTGGTGGTGACCCGCGGTGACGAGGTCATCCTGGCCGACGTCACCGTGGCGTTTGAGAACGGGCCAGACGCGCTTCGCGCTGCCAGCGACGCCAAGGTCCGCAAGTACACCCCGCTCGTGCACGAGCTGCGCGGGCGGGGTAAGACGGCCAGTGTGGTGGCGTCGATCGTCGGCCCCCTGGGCACCTGGTGGCGGGGCAACGAGGCCTCGCTGCGCCGGCACCCTGTCAGCCAGAACTACGCTAAGCTGATGCGGCGGCTCATGGTGAGCGACACCCTGAGGTGGTCCCGCGACATCTACATTAAACATCTGTCCGGGCACCGCCAGTACGAGTGATCCGCGGCCGGTTCTCTCGGCCGCGGTGACGTCAGGGTCGTCGCTGCCATCTTGCCGACGCCAGCGGTGCACTGTTTCGGCCTGGCGCGGCGTCTGGGCGCGGCGCGGCGGCTGCACACCCGGGCCGCTACCTCGGCGCGGTGAGCGATCAGCGCGGCCGCCCGACGCCCCGTCTCCCCCCCCCCCCCCCCCAGTCCCCGGAGCGCCACGTGGGCCGAGAACGATCCCCACCGGCGGCCTGCCCCCCCCCCCCCCCCCACCTTCGGGAGGGGAGCCGGCCCCCGCCCCACCCCTGCCATAGCGCGCTGCGTCGCGCCAGAAAGTTGCTTTGCAGCGCCATCTGCGACGCAGCTGGTAGCGCCACCACTGCTCAGTAAATGTAGTAACGTAAGGTGGCGCCACTAGCACACCCTGTTCGTTGCGCGACCTGGCGCTTGTTCACATTGTTCTTGCCGCTCTTATAATGCCATTTCTTGAATTTTATCAAACAACCGTGTCTCGTGTAAATGCCCTCCACATCGTGGAGCGGCATCCGCTTTTCTTTTTCTTTCTCTTGTTATCAGACATGTATTTTTCCGAAAAAAAATCAGTTGTTATCAGCTTAATATCTGATACGTCCCCTACATGGGGACCAGAATATTAAACTGATTTTTGAACATTGGCGGGGTTACTGGAGCTTGCTCCTGCCCTGCCGCGGGTTGGACTGGCATTGCACTATAGCCAGGATCGGCCCATTTTATGCTGTCAGCGGTGTCAATGAATCAATATATGCTCTAATACATGTATAATCAGTACGTGTGTTCAATATGGCCTTGCGGCTATGCTGCATGCGCGCCGCTGCTGACACACAGCCAAGACGCATCGCCTCAGATGTGAGGGCCGACGCAAAAGCCAGCACGAACAGAGCATGGCCAGAGCCAACAACAAAATCAACCACTACATAGCAAACAATGAAGAAACACACCAAGAAAGAACCCAAACAAACACAAAAAGCAGCAATAGCCATCAAATTTTAACACTGTGGCCGCCGGCGAAAACACATGATTGACATCAGCTCAAAGGCGGCCGATGCCATGTCACCAACAGCGCGCGTGCCGTCAGGCCGGCAACATGCAGCGCCAACGCATCACAGGGTTGTACAAGCGAACGCCATATAGACCAAACGCCTGCCAATGGCCATGGCCGCCGGCTGTGCATAACGGCTTTGCGCGCCCCACGGCTAGATGGCTTTGTCGGCAGCGTGGCATTCACACATCGCCTGCGGGCCGGCCAGGGGTCGGCTATCTGCCCTGCTCCGGCGCACGGGCCCGGCAGCCGGAGGCCGTGCGCCTTTGCCGGCCTGGCGGCATTGCTCGGCTGCATGGGCGTCTTCGCTTCCGAAGCGCGGCCGCGCTCTACCACGTGACGCGGCGGGACGCCGCACGCAACTTGCAACAAATCGGCAACACAGCTCGTCAACTGCACGGGGATGTGACCCCACCCTAAGGCTGGGAGCGACGGCTCTCCGCGACTGGCGGTCGAGACCGAGAGGGCATACGGCGCCTTTCTTCCCATCCCGGCGACCACGCCTCGCGGACGGTGGGCACGACCGTCCTCAACCCGCCGATGGGAACCGGATAAGGCGTGGTGGGGTAGCCGGCGGAACCTCAAATTTGTCCGCGGCTCTGGCTCGCGGTGAAGTCTGTGTGACTGGTCTGCGCCAGGGTAACAGCTTGGTGTACCTCGATGCAGCGCTGCTTTAGGTCCGCAAAATGGGGCGAGAACGTAAGTCGGGCATCCAGGGTGATCCCGAGATACTTACGAGACGGAGGCTTACAATCGTATCGTATATCGGGATAAGAGTGCTAGAGCGCAAAGTGTCAGGGAACGTTTCATTAATCCAAATATAGTTAAAGGCAGAGAGGACATTTAGCAGTCCAGACTCAGATTTCTGAAAAAAGCGTAAGCGATCTGGTCTAGACCGGTCTGGTCTGGTCTGGTCTGGTCTGGTCTGACGGCTGTCCCTCGGTGTTGTATGTGTGTAGGTGTTTGACTGTTGAGGTGTACGAGGTCATGAGTATGTAGTAGTGTGTGAAGCATAGTGCCGCTTGTCTGTGTTGATTGGCACCCCCACGCTCGGTGGTGGGCGTTAAAATCGCCCAAGATTGGGCAAGGGGAGGAGATCTGAGAGAACAGTTCGGAGAGCTGGGCGGCGGGGAGAGGGTTATTTGGGGATAGATAAAGAGGTCGAGAGCTGAGAGAGAGAGAGACGAGAAGAGAGAAGAGAGACGAGAGTGGGGTCAAGTTGTGCGATTTTTATGTTAATTGCTCTAAGATTCAGATCAGCATTAAAGTGTGCTCGATGGTGCAGTAGACGGCTGGCCACATACAGCGCCGTGCCGCCACGGCCAGGTGTGTCTTTTACGTTATTGATATGGAGGCAATGATTTCGAAAATTAAAGTTATAGTTCGTAGAATCAGAATCATTAAAAAAGGTCTCTGGAACAGCGGCAATCAATCGTTTATGTTTCATGATATGTTCTTTGAATTCGTTTCAGTGGCATATTGGGGACTTGGTATTCCATTGGAGAACAAATTCATTAAATGGGGTTTTCATTTTCTGGCGAGCAGAGCGAGGCCGTCTTGCTGCTCGTGCAGCGGTGCGGGAACACATTTGGACATGGCCCGCGCGGGTCCGTTTGGAGGGGGCGGGGGAGAGGGAGGGCGGGCGGGGCGGGGGTCCTCTCTCAGGAGATGGGGAGGTAGTCCGACTCGACCCTGACGGTTCTGCCCCCAGACTGGTCCGGGGGGAACCAGTCGTTGATGACCCCGGTTCCGACAAGGCTCTCGGGCGCGCACAGCGTGTACCGCTGAACGGCCGTGAGGTCTGAGGTGGCGTCAACGATGTCTCGGTTCTGGCCTGAGGGGCCGGGAGACGAGCCTCAGGGGGCGGAAGCGGAGGGTGGTGGCCCGGGACCAGACTTCAAGGGCCGGGAGCCAGGCCTTGCGGGCCAGGGTGCGGGCTATGGGGGCGCCCCTCAAATGGTGCTCGTTGGGCGGGACCGCACGCCCGCTCTCTACTCCACCCCGGGCGGCTGGGGTGGATCGGGCGTGCGCCTCCGCCGGCGTGGGCCAGGCCCCAGTCTCCAGGGAGGGAGCGCGTGGAGGGGGGAGCGGGGAGGGAGCGTTGTTCTTTTGTTTTTTCCTGAGGTTTGCCCGGATCTCCAGCCAGGCCGGGCAGGCCCAACGGTCCCATGCCGGGTGGGGACCAGTGCAGGACGCGCAGAGCGCCGCACTGGCGAGCTGAATGACAACCCGCACATACCCCGCACTTCGGGTGGCGGGCGCGGCAAGTGCGCGCGCTGTGGCCGAAGGCCTGGCAGTGCGCGCACTGCTGCGGGATCCACGGGCGCAGGGGCACCCGCATATAACCACACAAGAGGTACGGCGGCGAAAGGGTTCAGGGATGCAAAACTTTTGCCGTACTTATTTTTAATAAGAACGAACGATGGCCCGTCCGGCGGCGCGGTCGGCGGAGGAGCGCGGGCCCCACGGCGGGGGTGGGTCCCGGTTCGCGGCGAGATGGGGATGGGGACTGGGGCGGCATGCTTCGTGTTTTGGTGCATGTGCTTGTGTACTTGGTACAATTGAGTGCTTAAGGCGATAGAGTGTGGGCTTAAGGCCTGCCAGTGTTGCTTAAGGTTGCGTGTGTAGCTTACGTGTCCGAGGAAACGGCGAGACGACACAGGAAAAAAGCGATCGACGACGACAACGAAAAGGAAACCCTTTGCCCCCTGTTAGGCGTTAGACGTAATAGGTGATGGGACAGGGAAGCCGGGAAGCATATAACAAAATGTTTTGTGCGTGACCGTGTAGCCTTTGGCATGCTTATTCAAGTAAGTGCTCGAAAGAAACGTTTCGGTATAAGTAAAACTAAACTATTAACCCTTATCGCCTACATCACAAGCGCATTAAGTACAAATAAACATCAAACGATGCATAAACGATCGCAGCCTTCAACCTATTCCGGTCTGCTCAAGCATTCTCATGGTTCTACAGTTTTGGGTCTTATTCACAGGTTATCATCTTTAACAAAGTTAGCTTAATGCGTGTTTGGCAATGTTTCACTGATGCTCTTCGTCATGTCTATTTCATACTTAATCCACCAGGTACCAGAAGCGTGGAAAGAGACAAGATTGGGGCTTCTTGGAGGATGACTCCAGTGCGCAAAATAGGTGGGGCCATTATTAAATACCATTGTCTAGACACATAAAAAGCTCCTCTAGCGTCACGAATATCAACATTGGTGCCGTTTGACAGACCTGTAACTTAATTCTTAATCAATGTGCCGAGAAAAAAACTCTATCTCAGTTCATTCCAATACATCTGCCCGCATGGTCACACGTTACATTGGACGCATGTATTCTCAGTTGCTGACCAATGAGAAGCGCAGAAAAACAGCAACTCAGGTGGTGGCAACTTTGTGGCAACGAGTTTCAAACAGCCGAAACGACTGCTTTGCATCCCAGTGTGAGACCAGGCCACGCTCATGTCATGGTCTTGACGCTTGGTCCGATCTCGGCGTTATCATATTCTTCCATCAACTTTTCTGGATCGCTGTGATGCCACGTTCTTCCCCGGGACTGCCCCAGTCTCCTCGACAGATTCGAGGCAAGATCGCATCTTTTTTGCAGCCATGTGTTGTTTGTGAAGACTAGCATCTTACTTTTACGTGGCTGGCCCTTTTCCGTGCCGTTACCACATACCAGGTATAACCACGCCTCTCACAAAAGGCCAGTGCATTCACCAGCGCGGAGACAAATACGCGCGGCAGGTGCCCGTGCGATCTCACATACCACTCAGAACTCCAAAGGAGGTCCTAATTACGATCGCAACGTAGAGTTACAGCGGCAGGACGATTCTGATCCAGGGGCATCCTCTCGGCAGCAGGCAGGGTTGGCGAGGGTAGCAAATGGGTGGCAGCAGGGGGGGGGGGGGGAGGGGAGGATGACTGACTACCG